ACTTATAGGTAAGCGTACCTAGGTGCACACATACAGTAAAATACATTATTGGTATTATTATTTTGAATAAATTGTTATCTGTGAGGTCAATTAAGAATAAGAAAAAATAAAAGATTCTAATTTTGTTTGCACTTACCTCTTTATTAATATTCTCTTCTTTATGTAGATCCAAGTTCCTGAGCTATATCATTTTCCTTCTCTCTGAAGAACTTCTTTTATCATTTTGTGCAAAGTAGGCCTACTGGTGACAGTTTTCCTCAGTTTTTTCCTAAAGAACTTTATTTCTCCTTTGCTTTTTAAAAAAACTCTAGATGCCAACTAGTAGAGAAAACATATGATACCTGTCTTTCTGAGTCTGCCTTATTTTATTTAATGTGATGATCTTCAGTTCCATCAATTTTCCTGCAAATTAAATAATTTCATCCTTCTTTATGGCTGAATTTTAATATATATATATATATATATTATATATATAATTTTGAAAATCCATCCATCCATTACTGTATATCTAGGCTGATTCCATAACTTGGCTATTGTGCATAGTGTCACAATAAAAATGGGTGTTCAGGTATCTCTACTGTATGTTGACTTTGATTCCTTTGAGTAGATACCCAGGTGTAGCTGGATTGTATGGTAGTTTAGTTCTTTCGAGGAATTTCCATACTTATTTCCACAGTGGCTGTACTATTTTACATTCTCAAAGACAGTGTGGAAGTGTTCTTTCTCTCCTCATTCTTGATACCATTTGTTATTTTCTGTTTTTTCAGAGGGAGTGTGTACCAGGGATCAAACCCAGGACCTTGTGCTTGCGAGGCAGGCATGGTGCCACTGAGCTAAATCCCTGGCCCATGTTTTTTGTGTTCTTGATAGCCATTCTGACTGGGATGAAGTAGAATCTATATGTAGTTTTAATTTGCATTTTTCTGTTGGCTAAAGATGTTGAACATTTTTTCATAAAATTATTGGTCACTTATACTCCTTTTGAGAAGTGTCTAGTCAGCTCATAAGTCCATTTATTAATTCAATTACTTGTTTGTTTGGTGTTCAAATTTTTGTAACTTTTTTATCTCCTTCACTTTTGAATAATAATTTAATAGGAAACAGCATTCAAGGTTTGTGGAGTTTTTCCTCAACACTTTAAATATTTCATTACACTCTCCTTGCTTGTATGTTTTCTAAGAAGTCAGATATAATTCTTATCTGATCTGCTACTTGTTTCCTCTATGGTTGCTCAATTTTCTAATCTTTGATTTTCCGGAGTTTGCATATGATATTCACTTTTTTGGTTTTTTTTTTTTTTGGTACTGGGGATTGAACTCGGGTGTTTGCGCTTACGCAGGTATTCACATTTTTAACTTTTATCCTGTCGCTGTTCTCTGAGATTCCTGGATCTGTGATTGGGCATCTGACATGAATTTGGGAGCAGTTCTCAGCCATTATGGTGTTAGGTATTTTTTCTGTTCATTTCTTGCTTTCCTTTCCCTCTGTTTTTCCCATTACACCTATGGTACACCTTTTGTAGTTGTCCACTATTCTTGGACATTCTGTTCTGGGTTTTTTCCTTGTCTTTTTTCTGTTTACTTGTTGTTGTTGCTGTTGTTTTGCCAGTTTTTCTTAGATATCTTCAAGTTCAGGGATTCTTTCCTCATGTCAGACTATTATTGAGCCCTTCACAGGCATTCTTCATTTCTATTCAGCATTTTTGATATCTAGCATTTATTTGTAATTATTTGTTAGAATTTGTCTCTCTACACTTGCGATTAGTCTATTCTTGCATGTTGTGTACTTTCTTCCTGTTATAGTCCTTAGCATATTAATCATAGCTATTTTAAAATCCTGGCCTGATAATTTCAACATTCCTGTGATATCTGATTATGGCTTTGGTGATCACCCTGTCTCTTCAAACTGCCTTTTGCCTTTTTAGTATTCCTTTTCTCAAAAGCTTGACATGAGGCACTGGGCAGAAGGAACTGTGGTGGACAGGCATTTAGTAATGTGGAGGGAACATGTGAAGGGAGGGACGCATTCTGAATGACTGGATGTCCGTCTTTTGCTGAGGTTGTGCCCCTGAACTGTGAACTTCACAGTACTTTTCAGTCCCTGCTCTTGAGTGAGTGAGAATGGCTAGAAGGATCTGGGATTGGCTATTTTCTTTTTCCATATGAAGGGCTAGAAGCTGACCAGAGGTCAGTACTTCTCTTCCCCATGTCATTAGACTCTAATAAAACTCCTATAGGGCATATGCTGGGAGTGTATTTTATCCTGAGGGAAGGCCTTACAAAAACCAGAATGTTTCCAGGCATAGTGATGGATGCAGAACTGTAATCTCAGCCCCGTGGGAGGATGAGGCAGAGGGACCACAAGTTGAAGCCTGGATAATTTAATGACTTATTTTAAGACCTGTCTTAAAATAAAATAAAGGGCTAGGGATGTAGCTCAGTATGAAGGCCCTGGATTCAATTCCCAGTAACACACACACACACACACACACACACACACACACACGACAGAAAAAGAATAAAAACAAAAGGAAAAAGAGCAAGAACAGAGTGTTCTGGTGTAGTTCAAAATGGCTACCTCCCCCTCCCCCATGCCTGAAACATGAACATTTTTTTTCTCTATTATTCATTGGGACAAGTAGTAGGCCTCCTAGAGGTAAGAACACAAAAGTGTGGGTCAGCTCCCCGAATACTGGGCTCCCTGGAATTCCCAGCTTTAAAACTCATCCATGTCGAGCCATCAGAAATTTGTCAATTTCAGTTTCGGTTTTCCTACCCTAGGCTTGGTTCCTTTCCAGGCTTCTACATGACAGTTTCTGGTCTGGTGAGTTGTCATTCTCTTTGTGAGCCTGCCTCTCACCATTTGGAGTAGAAGTATTCCTGTGACTTTACTTCTCAAGTGTAAGAAAAGTTGTTTACTCATCCCCACCCCTTTTGTCTAGTTATTTACTTCTTGTTAGGATAGAGTAGCAACTTCTAAGCATCTTGGATGTTCAACTGGAAATCAGAAGTCTTCTTTCTTTTTAATATAGGCATTGGCAACTATAAAATTTTAAAGCACTGCTTTAACTATATTCTACGAGTTTTGTATGTTGTATTTCATTTTTATTCATCTCAAGGAAGTGCCTAATGTTCTTTGTTGTGCTTGGAATTTCTGTAGAGGGTATTATTTCTATTTCATCTCTGCATTAATTTCAGAGGACATTGGTATCTTTAGAGTCTGGATTTACTGTTTTAGGAATAGTTTCTGAGGAATAGAGGAACTGAAAGTAAACAGAGGTAGATGAAAGTAGGGGCTACAACTTAACCCCTAGATTTTGAAGTCATCCTGTGGCCCTTGTCCTTGTAAATCAGTGATTCTCAATGTACCAGGCATCCTTTCACAGCAGGGAATAACCTGATCTGAAGTGTCAATAGTGCTGCTGTTGAAAAACACTTTTTGAACCTCTTAAACTGGTTAGAGTGTTTCACACTCAACCAGCACCTACCTGTCCAGTATCCCACCACCGCTTGACAATGGCCTATGAGGTAGCTGAAATGTCAAATGTGAAATGAAGTAATGACCTGAAAGTGAAGGATCCTGTAAGTCAGCCACAGAGCTAGCACTACCATCCTCCAGTCTTCTTGTTTCCCAGAAAGCCCACATTTACCTGGGCCTTTCTAAAGTGGACCATCATGCACTCTCTTGTGAGTATAGAGTTCAGTATCAGTAGGGGATCAGTTCCAGGAACCCCTGCAGATAGCAAGATCATGGCTACGCAAAGCCCTTAGAGAAAATGGCATAGTATTTGTATATAACCACACACATACTCCTATTTACTTTAAATAGCCTCTAGGATAACTATGATACTGAGTACAATGTGAATAGTTGCCATACTGTATTACTTAGGGAATAATGACAAGAAAAAAGCCTGAACATGCTCAGAACAGATGCAGTTTTTAACAAACATTTTCATTTTGTGGCTGATTGAACCTTGTGGCTATGGAACCGCGTGGATCCAGAACCCTGCACATGTAGGTCCTGCAGACTTGGGGAGCCAACCGTACATGTGTGGCATTTTTGTAGACGATTCTGCTTCTCCTAGCTAAGCATAGTTCATTCTCTTATGTAATAATCCCATAGTGAGTGTGTCCTGCTGCAAAGAGAGTGGAAACTTTCTGTGGGCAGCCCAGCAATTGCCTCAAGTAGGCCCTAAGTGCAATTTTTGTTGAACTATTAGAAGATAAGAAAGTATATATACTGATAGGTTAACTTGGTCATCTCTATGAGGTTGTCATAAAGGTTGTACCTGTCTCCAGAACAGGCTGGGAAGTGGGGTGTGACCCTCATACTGGTGGGGAAAGAGAAATTGTCGGCCCACATTGGTTGTTTTGCTTATAGAATTTTGTGTTATTAATGATAGTTATAAGCACTGTATTATTTCCCTTGTTAAATTCCCCGCAGTTCAGGCTCTTTTCCCCTTTGAATTGTTCATACTCGTAACTTGTAAAAGATGAGTCATAATCTTGTTTCAAACTTCACTGTATGCTCAGATTTTATTCCCAAACAATCTTATCAGAAACAACATGAAAAAGATATCTTGTGATGTTTGGCAGCACTGTTATCTTTAAATTATTCTGACATCGGATCTCTCTCTTAAGGTAGCCAGTCTCAATTTCTTATCTATAAAATGGAAATAATGATCCTTTGTTAACTAACAGACTTTTCCTGAGGATAACATCATCTAAAGCACATGAAAACCTTTTGAACAACACTGTGTAAATGTCCAGGCTCCTCCAGTTAGGGCAACTCTGAAAAATTGTGTTTGTATGAGTAACACAATACAGTCAGTTGTCATTCAGTTATTGAAGTACTTACTATATTGAAATAATGTGTTTCTTACTTAAGGTGTTGGCTTGAACATATAGAATCTTTATTTTTTACTAGTAATTTGGTTAGAACTATGTTTGACCTTGGGCTGTCTTGACAATTGCAATACCTTGACCTTTGCTTCTCTGTAGGTATTACAGAACATCTTGGATACTGAAAGAGAGTATGCTAAAGAACTTCAGTCTCTCCTTGTAACTTACTTAAGACCGCTGCAATCCAATAACAAGTAAGATTTAAATTTAAAAAATTATATTTGTTTATTTGCTGGTTGTTTTGTTTTGTTTTGTTTTTTTGAGACAGGGTCTCGTTATGTAGTTCAGGATGGCCTTGAATTTACTATGTAGCCCAGGCTGGCCCTGAACTTGTGGCAGTCCCCCTGCCTAAGCCTCCTGAGTGCTGGGATTACAAGCATGTGCCACCACACCCAACTAAGGTTTTTATTTTTTATTTTAAACCCTTTCCTAAATAAAGCAGGATAATGTCAGCATATGGAGTCATTACTCTTATGTCACTGAATAATTGATTTTGCCCTTTAGAAGAAATTCCACAGATCACAGGTTGCCAAGAACATGGTCAGGGCAACAGAAATTATGCAAGATGTTGCTTTGGAGAGCTTAGCTTGCTTTCTGTGGAAGGAATGAACATATCTGCATTTCTGTCTGTTACAATATTTATCTTGTATGTTTCTGTCTCTTTTCCATTTACATTTTTAGTTAAAAATTTAATTGCCATGTAATCATTGTACATATTTGTGGAATAGAATGTGGTCTGTCAGTATATGTCTACAGTATGTAATGATCATATCAGACTAAGTGGCGTATCCATCACCTCAAAGGTTTAGCATTGCTTTATGTTAGGAACGTTCAAAGCCTCTCTGGCTGCTGTTCTGAAATATACAATTAATTGTTGTTAAACACAGTTACCCTGCTGTGCCCTAGAGTGTTCAGAGTCATTCCTCCTATCCAGCTGCATCTGCTAACCATCCTCTCGCATGCAGCCCCTGCTCACTTCCCAGACTCTGTGGTAGCCACTACCCCTCTCTCTGCTTTGAGATCAGCTCTGTTAGCTTTCACATATCTTGCACATTTTTATAGCCATGTGTCTGCTTTTCCTTGCAGAAAAGGGGCTCCCTGGCGCTTTCATTCAGAAAGCACAGAAAATGGAAATTCTCATGCTCACTGTGACCTCTGCTTGTCAGGGCAGAGCTCCTTTTTCCCAGGCTCTGAGAGTGGAAAGAGTGTGGAATTTCGTGAATGTTCCTAAGAGGAATTCATGCCAATATTTCACTCAGGCAAATGTGAGGCAAATGTGATAATGAGATATTGAAGTGTTTTGTCATCTTTGTGTGTGGGGGCTGCATTTCCAGCTCTTTTAAAAATGTTATTTTGTGATGAGGTCTTCCTAAATTGTCCAGGCTGGCTTGAAAATTGCAATCCTCATGCTTCAGCCTCCTGAGTAGCTGGGATTATGGGCGCATGTGTGTAACTGCACCCGGCTAAAGTGATCTTATTTTTCAATTTTTTCTTTTTAATTCCCCTTCTCCTTACAGCACTTTTAAAACAAAACATTTAAACTTTATTTTGGCTTTAGAAATCTAAAGTAATTGTCGAAGGCCGGAATTGAAAACAGTTTTGACAAAAGAAAAATATTGACCATTTTTTAATGCTGTTAGGCATGGCACATTAAAAAATGTGACTAACAGCCTCTATTTGTGTTATTTTAAGTGTACAAATTTCTCTAGACATCATGAGCCATAAGTCAAGTAGAAAATGAAGCAGTCAGCCCACTTAATGCAGGACAAAACTTCCCCTTCTACCTCAGTAAGAGCCGATTGCTGCTGGACAGTTGGCTACTAATCAACCTCAGGCTTAAATGAGTTTCATATTCATGGATTTTCTCCCTTTTTTCCAAATCATGTTTGTTGAACATAATACCTTGATGAATTTCTAACTTTGTTATTCTCACAGCACTATGGGAATCTTTCTTCAGCATGGAAGGATTTTGTACTCCTGCATTGTAAGAATTTCCAAGTAATCGACAGCACAGTGTTTATTGTTATTGCTGTTGAAGTTTTAAGTGTGTTGTGAATCATGGCTCTGAGAGGTGGACAGAACCTCAGTGCACGGTCAGGTCTAGGACTCTAGGCATAGACAGGAAACAGAGGTCTGGACAGGCCTACTGTCTTGCCAATCTCATAGCCCCAAGCGGCTGTATCCACCCATCATGCCTCACACTACTGGTGCAATGTGCCTTCTGTGATCTGGGGGTGCCAGAGGGAAGCCGAAGTGGTAACCTTGGGAGGGGAAATGGAAAGGTATTCACTCCAGAAATGGTGAGGGGGAAATGAGCCAGGTCAGAGGAGGTAAGAGAACTCAGTCAGACCTGCACTTTTCCTAAATATGTCCAGAATGCAGTTACAGAAAGTTTCTAGTTCTTTTTTTTTTTGTACCGGGGATTGAACTCTGGACCTTGCGCTTGGGAGGCAGGCGCCGGAACCACTGAGCTAAATCCCCGGCCCCTTAGTTCTTCTTAATTGTACTGAGGGCCTCAAAAGATTTGAGCTCCCGAATGAGGGCTGATGGTTTCGCTTTCCACATTCCAAGATGGGCTTTCCACCTCCCGGCTCTGGAGGGCTCTGCAGCAGAGGAGCCAGGAGCTTTTTATACCTTAAGCAGTTACTGGTAATTTGTGTTTGGGTTTTCCCTTACTTAGTCAGCAAAGTAAATTATTCTTTAAAAGATGATTATATTTTTAAGGAGAAAGAACATGCAGCATTCACTGGCCTTAAAAAATTTGTTTTTTAGAGAGAGGATGCTCAAAAAAAAAAGAAGAAAAAGAGGGAGAGACAGAGAGATAAACAGCATGCACTCTGGAGCTAGAATTTTTGTTTAAATCCTATCTTTTTCATTCACTGACTTTGTGACTCTCAATGGCCCCTCTGGATTTTGTCACCTATAAGTGCAGACAACAATAGTACCTACCTCACAGGGTTATTACAAGGTTAAAGTGAGTTCTTTGTTTTTTTTGTGTGTGTGTGTGTGTGTGTGTGTGTGTGTGTGTTTTGGTACTGCAAAATGCTTGCACACATGCTCAGCGCTGTGTGAGGTGCGGCTCTTGTTCTTATTGCTTACTGTTTGGTAAGGGAAGAATGGACAAGAGCCTTCTTCATGCAGAGCCCCTGGTAAAATTGTTTAGTTGGCCTTTATTTGACTCTACTCCTTTCCATAATCAAACAAATAAACCAAAATCATTAGCACTGTTTTTACCCACCTACTTCCTTTCATAAAGATCTCTTTTAGTTGATTTATAAGCATTTTAGTTCAGGAGTAAGCTAAATTTTTCTTTTGGTGTGCATTATTTGAGCATATATAACTTTCAGTTACTTTTCCTGTTCCTCTGGAGAAAGATATACAAAAGCTTTTCCATTTCTTTTCAGCTATCATGTATTTATCTGTTTAAATACTAAGGTACAATATTAAGCACATATTAATTTTTCTCATGGATTTATAAAATACTTAAATACCCTTTATGGCCATTCATTTTCCTTAGGATCAATATTCTTATTATAGAAAAGGGAAACCAAGGAAAGAAGCTTAAGAAAGTTGCCTGAGACCGTAGAGTTCTTATAAATTGAAAAGCAGAAGTTGAAATATAGGGATTGCTTCTCTCATATTTGCAAGATACTGTATTACCAATCTGTCAACTAACTATACTGCAGATAGGTTTCTAAAGTTATCCTTAAATTCAACTATCTGAAATTATATATATTTTTCTAGCCTGAGTACTGTGGAGTTTACATCTTTACTGGGAAACTTCGAAGAAATATGTACATTTCAACACACACTCTGCCAAACTTTGGAAGAATGCTCAAAGTAAGTGTGGTGTATTTGTCAGGATGACCAGCAACATTGTTATTGGGGTTTTGTTTTCCTTTTAACTGTTATCTTAGATAAGGACATTTTATACATTTCCTACAGCCTTGACACAACTGTCCTAGAACATAGCAACAATACAGATAAAACATATGAGGCTTACAGTATCTAACCATTAGATGTTTATTACATCTAGCAAATTATTTCTGATTTTAATTAAAAATCACATCAATTTACTGCATATGATCTCTGTAAGATACACATAAGGTCTTAATTGACCATCGGTGATAGTTTTGATATTATTTTTGTGTATGTGTGAACATTGCAAATTACTTGGAGGAGTCATTTATATTATTCAGTTTCACAAATCTATTCCCCCAGTCTCTGCCAAGGTACTGGTGCATGCTAAGCGTGCCCTGTACCACTGAATTACACCCCCAGCTCCAGTTTGCTTCCTTTTAATCACTTTCGGTATTGTCTCTATTAAATTAAGAGTTGAAACATATGGAAAGCGAGGAAGGAAAAGCATATGTGAATCACAACACATTTTGGATGGCTAGCTGATTTCTGAGATGTGCAACTTTTGTGATTTCTGTAGAGAAATTAGGGATGATTTTGTTTCTTGAGCCTTAAGGTATATAGGTGGCTGTCCAGGGAGGAAGGTGGAGAGGTTCCACACTATGGACACCCAAGGACCTGCTTCAAATGCCAGTAGGGATCTGGATAATTCATATGCACAGATGTTCTTGGAGTGAGAAGGGTGCTTTACAAACTGGATTTATAAATAATATTTATGGTTTCCATTTTATAGAGGAACATGTAGAAAGAAGCTCTTGGAGTATGTCAGAAGTTATAGTAGACATCACCAGATGATGTGATTCCGAGTCATTTTTTTCTTATGCTTTTCTGATTTTTCTACAAATGAAAACAGGTAATGCATAATTAAAAAGAATTTTTAAAAAATGAGGTCACCTGGCTAGTAACCACCAGGCCAACAAGACTACACAATATTTTTTTGTGTGTGAGGTATTGCTTTTGGATTAGATTAGTTTTGCCCGTACTTAAGTTTCTTAAATTAGCTCAGAGTACTTTTAGCATGTTGAGCTAAATTTAAATATAAATCTTAAAAGCAAACAACTCTAGGGCCAGGGATTTAGCTCAGTGGTGCCACCGCCTGCCTCACAAGCGCAAGGACCCGAGTTCGATCCCCTGTACCAAAAAAACAAAAACAAAACAAAAAAAACCCAAACAACTCTACTACTAATTCCAAGTAAGTTTCTGACTTTGCATATTAGGGCTGTTAGGTGTCTAGAGTTTAAAGCAGTGGTCAAAAACCTGCTTTTAATGAGTAAAATGGGCTCTAATATACTTTCCCTTTTAACTGTGATGAAACATTCAAATTGTTTGCATGCTGCCCAGTTTAACTGGAATCATCTTCCTTTACCTTCTGTTTACTGTTTTACATTCTGTGTCTCACCTGTATTGTTTACAGGTTTCCAGAAAACCAACACAAAGTAGGAGGTTGTCTACTGAATCTCATGCCTCATTTTAAATCGATGTATCTGGCTTACTGTGCAAATCACCCTTCAGCTGTAAATGTGCTCACCCAGCGCAGGTAAATCATTAACATTTCTCCAGCTAGGTGGTTTTGTAATGAGATACTTTCTTAAGACCACATCATTCAAAATCCGAGGTCTCTGCTTGAACTCTACTATGCCTGCTTTTGATGCCAAGAATTTATTCATTGTTACATGGATTGATCATCCATTAAGCTAAAAAATAATTTATTGAGCACCTACTATGTCCATGGTCCTGTACTAGCTGATGGGGATATAGTAGTGAACAAGGAAGACGAAGCCCCTTCCCTCATGGAACACAGAATCTTGAGGGAAATACAGATATTAAGTTAAACACTGTAACTATGTTGTATTACAAAAGAGTAATTAAAAGGATGCCAGGGGATTTTACAATATGGTATCAACTTAGTGGGATAAAGGAGCGGAGAAGTATCAGGAAAGGCCTTACTGAAACAAAATCCTGTCTAGATCCAATGGTTTAGACTTCCCTGTGCCAGTCAGTGTTTTATCTCAGTTGCTTAATGGGTAGATGATGTCTCAAGAAATGCCATGGCTAAAAGACAGGTATTGGTAAGCAAAGGCAGAAGGAAACCAGTGCTTGCTGTGAGTGGTGTGACAGACAGGACCTGCACACAAACAGCTCTGATGACTTATGTGGATGTACTAAACTCTTTCAGGCGCATGAAGAACAAAATCATAGCTTCACCTTTAAAAATGAAAGTCTTTACAAGGGGCCCAGAAAAGTGTCACGTTTCTCCTGTCCTTCCTTGGCCTCTCACTGCCCATTCCCTGCACGTTCATCTGGGACATGCCTGAAGGGACACTTTGACCTTTGAAGTCATATGTTGGAAATCTAGGTGGGACAATAGCAAGAGCAACAGAGAGGCGGTTTTGCCTTTAACTCAGAGATCAGATGCAGAGCTCACAAGGACTGTGGATGCTGCACAAGGCTGAAAAGAGTAGTCTGCTCTTATCTGGCCTATATCTGAACCCCCAGGGCCAGCTAGAAAATTCGTTGACACCAGCCTTCAAAAGTAACATAAATTTTGGGTTTTGTTCTTATTTGGAGATTTATTGGCATTATAGAGCTATTGTGTAAGATCATTTTAAAGGTTTGATTCAGTAGGTCCCACTTGAAAGTCAATTTTATTCCCTGATCAAAGTTTTAAACTCTTGTGGAATAGCAAATATGGAAGTTGAAGTTTAAAACAAGAGAGGCCATGACTTTGAATTTTTCAGGCAAGTGGTTCAACCACTTATAGGTAACATTAGCTAATAATAGATGGACAGTGTGCCAGGTGCATGATGTAAAAACCTGTGAAGGGGTTACTTCCTTCTGCCTTATAGACAAGCCCCTGGAAGGCTTGGGTTAAGTAATCTGCCTGAGAGATTGCAGCTGTGAAGTGGCTGAGCCAGAATCCAGGTCTGTCAGACTTCTAAAAAATATTTTCATTAATCTATGTCTATATCTATATATGCATATATATTATCCACAAAGAATAATCTAAATGCTAACTTAAGAAGTATAATAAAATGAGCACCCAGGTACCCACTGCCCCCCCTTAAATAATAGAACATTATCCCTTCCTTTTTTATATAAGAGCTTTATTGAAATATAATTCACAAACCATATAATCAATTCAACCATTAAAGTTACAGAGCATCGATTTTCAGAATATTTGCAACTATCCCCATAATCAGTTTTACAACATTTTTATTTTCTTCACTCCCGAACAAATCTATACCCGTTTGCAGCCACTTTGTATTTCCCCTTAATCCAACAGCCCCAGGTAACTACACTAAAGCACTTTTGTCACTGTAGATTTGATTATGCTGGACATTTTGCTTATGTACAGTTGTATAATATGTGACCTCTTGTGACTGGCTTCTATCACTTAGCGTAAGGTTCATCCACACTGTAGCATGTAGCAGCACATAATTTTTAAAATTGCTAAATAATATTCTATTTTATGAATGCTGCATATTGTTCTTCCATTCTCCAGTTGATGGATTATAAATAGTGCTGCTTTGCAAATTCATACACAAACATTTGTGTAGGCATTTGTTTAAATTTTCCTTGGGTAGGTAATCAGGAGTAGAATTGCTAGATCACATGGTGCCTGTGTGTTTCACCTTTAGAGCAACAGTCAGACTGTTCTCCAAAGCAAATGCATGAGTTTATTTCCCACCAGCAGCATATGAAGAGTTCCATTCTCCCTACACCCTCACCAGCACTTCTGTTGTCAGTCTTTTTCATTATAGCCGTATTAGTGGATGTGAAATAGTTTCTCACTATGATATTGACTTTCACTTTCTTAATGAATACTATATTGAGCATCTTTCATGTGCTTATTGGCAATTTGTATATATTCATTTGAAAAGTTTCTGTTCAGATCTTTTCCTGTCATATCTTTTCTTAATTTGGTTGTGATACATGTGTACATTATCTAATGTTTTAATCAGTTTAAATGTATCTGTCGCCTCAAACATTTATCATGTCTTTATTGGAAAAACTTTCAAACTCTTCTCTTCTAGCTATTCGAAATGTAGCCTCCATTGTTGTTATATGTAGTCACCCTGCTGTCCAATAGCACACCAGAGCTTCATACTTCTTTCTAACTGTAACTTAGTGCCCACTGATCAAACTTTCCCGACCCCGACCCACTCCCTCTAACCTCGAGTAACCACCATTCTACTCCCAACTTTCTATGACATCAGCGTTTTTAGATTCCACATGAATGAGTGCATGTATTACTTTTCTCTCTATGCCTGGCTTACTTCATTTAACATAATGATCTCCATTTCTATCCATGTTGAAAACGAGAGGATTGCATCCTTTTAAAAAATTTTATTTTATTAGTGCATGTGTGTAGTACATAGTGTCTACATACTGGTGTGGAGCTGGTGCATGCACATAACACATTTAATTCATTTTTTCATTCCCATTCCCTTTCCCTTCCCTTCCTCCCCCTCCTCCTATCCCTTGCCTTTTTTTGGGTACATGTTTTCTTTTTTTTTTCTTTTTTTAAATTAAATTCTTTTATTGGTACATTGTAGGTATACAACACAATTATATTTCTCATTGGGAATTGTACCTTTACATAATACATCTTGGTTCTCATTTTTTCCCCATTCCTGGCCCTCCCTTCACCCCCTCCACCCTTCCCTATTTACAAAGATTTTATTTCCATTTTTTCCATTTCTCAGCATTTTTCCTTTCCCTTCTTTCCTTT